TCTTGCGAAAGCCGCAAGCCCGAGGAGGTTCAGATCTGTTCCGCCAACTTACACGTGTTCCGGGACTGGAACGTTTCACTGGACCGGTACTCGAGCAGGTGGAATGCCAACCTCCTCCTCAACGCTCAACAGAGTATCTTAACAGAGGATCGTTAAATAGGTAGTAGTAGTAGTTGCGCGGCGTGACCCACGTATGCGATGTCAGGGCTGCTGCTGCTCCCCTACATATATATATATATATATTCTTCTGCAACCCTGTGCATGCCACCGATGTAACAGAGGCTGGTGACGCGAACGGATCCGCAGGGGTTCTCTGACCTTCCCCTTCGCAGGGTCGCGAATGACGAGGCCGGCCAATAGCGCTCTCCAACCTCTGCGCCGTTCTCTTCTGACCCCGTTGTCAGGCATTATCAGAGCGTGCACGCGTGGATATATATATATTTCTCTTTCTTCTTTTCTCTGTCCAGTGACTGTGAACGTCTGGAGGAACTAGGAGGCTCGGAAAGTTCACGAGTGTTTAGACTTTCGGCCAAATATTTGAACTGGGCCCCTCCCGCCTTTGATTTGCCCCATCGCCGGTGTAATCCGAAACCTCTTGATCCCGCCCTCGGTTTCCTCTCTCTCTCTCTCTCTCTCTCCAACCGTTTGAATTAGTTCCGACCCGACCTCGATCCGTTTCGCCGCTTGTTTGGATCCGGCGGACAGACATTCTTCGACCTAGCAACAGTTGGGAAGGGTCAAGAAGGGTTTCGGAGTGGAGAGAATGGAGTAATGGACGGAAGTTGTGCGGAGAGTTCATGCGAGAGAGTGTTTGTCGAGTAGTCTCGAGTAATCGGTTTATAGCGGTCCCTTTGGCAAGATTTTCTTTATTCGCCGTATTCTATATTCGGTATCGAATTTGCGGAAGATGGTAGAGAGGTAAATTTGCTTCAATGCTTCTGAGAATTTTTAACTTAACGTGGGAGGATATATACATACACGTGGAATCATCCTACGTGATTCCTTTTCTACAGAAACTTTTTTAACTAATTTAAAACTAATTTAAATAAATCTTGCCTTCGAACTTACAATTCCCTCTTCTCTGTCTAACTCGTATATATAGATATACACTACTATTTGGAATATATCATTTCGTCGGATACGAAAGAAGAAGAAGAAGAAGAATCGGTATTAAAACCATGAAAACGTGACAAAAAAAAAAAGAAGAAGAATCTCATCTCTCGTCTCCCTCGAAACAAAAATATTATCAAAACCATTCCTTCTCTACGACGAGAATACAAGATCGTCTTTCGGTTTTTCCTCGCAGGTATGCACCCCGCCGTTTCTTACGAAAAGGTAGGGGACTGCTTTTTCAGTGGCCGTGGCTCGATCAACAAAGGTGCCTCGGCCGTGGTGCACGGTGGCGAAAGGGTGGAATAGAGGCGGCCGTTCTGTTGCTTGTTACGCGGTATGCCGAACAATATATATGTATATATATATATATATATATANATATATATATATATATATATATATATATATATGCGTGTACTAGTCTCCGTACTTATATACGGCATTACCATTGCAGGTAATCGGTAGCATACCGTATCTTTGCTTGCTCGTACGCCATTATGAGCGAAGGTGCTACTAATACGAGGATATTATTTTCAGGGATTCGCGCGGAAATTCGTATCTCTCTTTCGGATATTTCGTGAATAATTCGTACTGAGAACAAGGGGGGAGGGAGGCTTTCGAGCTTCTTCTTAGCTTCGAAGGAAACGTTTCATCCTTCTGAGTGGCTAGGAAGGATGAAGAGGAAGGAGACAAGAATTGTATTTTGATGAAATTTGATCGATAAAACAATGTTTCTTTCGAGATGTATCCGGATTTTTAACTGATATGATGAAGGTGTATGATATTTGGAATTTGGATAATAGAGGAAATTGTGAGATCGATTTTTGTTTCCATCGAAAGATCTAGAAGTTTTTCTTTACACGACTATTTATATCAGAAATTGAAAGTATACATAAGAAAGTTTTTCTAATTTTAATATATTTTCAATGGAATTTTATAAAGTAAATTTACGTAATTGTTAATATTAGAAAAAAGAAATAATGTCAGAGACACCTTATTCTGATTTCAAGAATTATCCTTTGTATTTTTTTCAACGTTTTTAATACGTTAGATAAATATGAAAATCCACAAGAACTCTATTAATACAAATATTTTAAACTTGCTGGATTAAAGAATAACTTCCACCGCGTTCTTTCTTGTCCTTCTCTTTCATCAGCGCGTAAAGCATTCGCTTTCCGTTAATGCGGACAATATGAATGCAAATATGGGCGAAAACGTTGTTGCCCGTAAAACACGCGGAACACGTTGAAAACGATAAAATGTTTGTGGAAACCGGCGAAACAAAATGCCAGCTACAATCTAGACAACGAAACATTAATGTTCCACAGGGTGAAATCTGCCGTCTAGTTTAGACGTGAATACAACATAAATTTATACTCGTCGCATGACTCGTCTGAAAATGTAAATTCCAATTTAATCTAATCTAAAAGCAGTGTCCGAGTTTCCATTGTTTCGAGCTGTACACGATAATTTTCAACAGGAACGTAAAACGGGGATGCGGGATCACCCCCCTGGAAAATATATATTCGGATATAATATACTTGACAAAAAAAATAAGAAGTCATCCTTTGAAGGAAATATAAATTTCCGTAAATGTAAATTTAATTCGCAATCTCAATTACTACTTTTTCGAAATTATCGGGTTTCACTCCGCTCTTTTCACCGAATTCATAAATACACGTCGCATTATCATAATCGATCCGACGCGAGTAGCTACGGAAAAAACGAGAAATAAGAGGGGATCCGTTGTTTCCCCGTTGTTAAAAAGAAGAGAAAGGAGGACAAAATAGAACTAACAAGCCGACGACGAAAAGGTAAATGGGGATATCCGAAGAAGGGGATCGAGGAGAGGAGGAGATTTCGCATTTTTCTATCGTCCTCTCTAACCCTTTCTCTGGATCAGACGCGATTACCGTCGGCCTGTTCAGTGGCCGTTTGGGACGTCACGCTCGATCGAGCGAAGAAATGCACGCGCCCCCGTTGATTTATTTATTGTCGAACACGCATGAGCCTCTTATTCCGAGTATTTTAATTGCCTGGATAAAATGCGCCCGCGCTCTTTGTGCGTACGTATCGTGACAGGGATAGGAAAAACTTGGTTTCGAGTTGGAATGCGTTGACCTTTCCCCTCCGCTCGATATTCCATTACCACGTTGGATGGACTTTCTTTTCGAAAAGGAAAACGGGTAAAAAAAAGGTAAAATCTTGTGAATCGGATTCGATTGGATATTTTTTCGTTTTTGTAATATTTTTAATAATGTGGTGCGTCTAAAAATGGACGATTCGATGTGAATGAGAAGTATTTCTTTCTTTATATCTCTATTGGTTAGATGGAAAATTTCGAGTAGTTTTTCACGCCCAGGATGCGATTCATTTTGTTCAGAAGTTCTTGAAATTTCATCTTTTGAATCTTCACGGTGATGATTCACAATCGTGATTAGATTATTGCGAATGATCATTTTAAAATTTATTTTACTTCGTTCGTATGAAGTTTTGTAACGATTAGAAGGCGCGTAAAAATATTTTAAAGATATTTAAAAGAAAAAAAAAATCATTCTAACGTATCGAAGAACTCGGCATTTGGCATTTTCGTCATGCAAATCGAGCGCGGTGGCTGCAACAGGAATAAAGCAATAGGAATTACAACGAGAAAATTCCTATCGAATTCTTCGGATGCATATCGTCGTTATTAAAATTATACGGAATACGAGAGCGAATGTACGCGTCGAAAAGTATATCGAAGTTACAATAATTTATTAATAATTAAAATCGAAGATAATAATTATTGCAAGATGATATTCATCGCGAGAACATTTCTAAACGAGAACGTGGCATCTATCATCTTAATTAAAAACAATATTAATAAAGTGAGATCTAATAAAGATTCAGAACATAATTTTTATTCTTGCAACAATATCCATCCCGAGCTAATAATTTCTTTTTAGAATGTATATTTAATTAGTATTTTTTATATTCCGTTTATAAATTTTTTAATTAATTTCCATGGAATTTTATACGCCCCTTTACTTACCGTCTCTGCCGCACCGATCAATTATTAACAACGAAAACACACGCGACGATCCACGAAGATTTTATTGCGCGAATATTTCCGACGGCGAGTGACGAAAGTTTGTAAAAATCCCTCCCCGCACAGGTGGAGAGGAATTTATCGCTAATTGATTGCGCCAATTAACGGCGGCCGATACTTTCTAATTACGGTGTCCATCGGGTTTTTCCTGATCCCGTCATGACAGACGTTTTTGCAAGTCAAAACAGCCGTTTTTACCGAGCGGTCTCGACCGATAATTGCGCGGGTGTCGCCTCGTCCAATTTCAACGAATTGCCGCGCGAACGCGCGATAAAGGTGTAACAGTTATTTGAATATTTCACCGGGTGTTCATTAATTATGCAACGCTGCTCGGTTGTGTTACCAGCCGGAGCAAAGCTCAATTGTGGTAATCGGCCGACCTTAATCGCGTCGCTCCATCGATCTTCTTCGAACGGAGTTCCACCGTGGATTAAAAATTAATCGGTAAAATTTAATTGTACTACGAATCATCTTCGAAAGTAAATCGTTCGAAACATTGCAACGCTCGTAATTATTCGTAATGTTCCTATGCTCCTATTTAAAGTTTCTTAAGATAACTCCCTGTTAATTGAATATTTCGTAAAAATAATTAACGAAAGATCGAAAATTTTGATATATGAATATTAACCCTTTGCTCTCCGGCACTACTGGGATTGTTGCAGCAACTTGAATGGCGATAATATTTATTTATGTTTGATTTTTTTAGAATAGAATTTTTTCGCTTCATAAATAGGTTCCTAAGCTCTTTACATATAATCTTGTATATATATAATGTAATTTTATCTTATGAGTAATTATCTTATGGTAATCTTATGAGAATGCGCGGGTCTGAGTCTGGAGTTGCTAGTTCGACCGAAACAGGCCTGGAGTGCAAAGAGTTAAATTTTAGAAAAATCCACAAACGAAGCAGCCTTCTATATTCAGGTTTCTATATAAATATTTTCTGACTAAGAATTGGATTATCTTTACTGCACATCAAGTATCCAAAGTATTAATCAAAGTTCATCGGTAAATTGTACGAAATTAGTAATGAACATCAAAATTGGCGTATTTCATCATCCTGGAACGTCCGGCCAAAGTTAGAAACTTCACAGACGAATCTGCTCGAATGGCTGGGAGCACTGGCGCAGTTTAATAATCGCGGATGTGTGTACCTTTGCTCGTTCACGGGCGTATTAGCTATCGAGTATCGACCCGGATGAATGGAAATGGGAATGTCGAAACGTAGCTGTGCATGATTTTGCGAATTCGAGGAGGGGAGGGAGGGTGAAAGTGAAGTTGAAGTACGCGAGTTCGAATTCGAAACGTGATTAAAGAATCTATTCTATTTTTCGTATATCGACGACGAAGTTGAATTTGTTCGGGAAAAATTAAAAATTGCGATTGACTGCGCGAGTTAACGTTTGCCACGGCGTTGTCTTATTTTCTCTCTTCATTGCGAAATTTTAAATAGTTGGCGAATTATCTACTGATAAAAAAAATGGTGTTTTCGATCCACCATTGCGATTTTCTCCTTCGAGGCTAACTTTTCGCAGAATCTTTGGANTGTTCGGGAAAAATTAAAAATTGCGATTGACTGCGCGAGTTAACGTTTGCCACGGCGTTGTCTTATTTTCTCTCTTCATTGCGACATTTTAAATAGTTGGCGAATTATCTACTGATAAAAAAAATGGTGTTTTCGATCCACCATTGCGACTTTCTCCTTCGAGGCTAACTTTTCGCAAAATCTTTGGAAAAAGGTTTGAAAAAAATTTCAAATATAAGCGCAAAAATTCAATACACGTGGAATACAAAAATCTCATCCTTCAAATAATACCATAATTTCGATATATTTGTATCTAGTCAACTGATAAAAAAAATGGTGTTTTCTATCCACCATTGCGACTTTCTCCTTCGAGGCTAACTTTTCGCAGAATCTTTGGAAAAAAACTTTGAAAAAAGCTTTGAGAAAAATTTCAAATATAAGCAAAAATTCAATACACGTGGAATAAAAATCTCATCTTTCAAATAATACCATAATTTCCATATATTTGTATGTTTAACATGTATTTAAAATTCTATAAATACTTTCTATAAATACTTAAACATTTCCAATCTACCCGTATTAATAAATGTATTGGCAAACTAATAAACTTATTACAATAAACTTTTCAACGTACCTCTCTCGTTCATCCACGAATTCTCTCAATTAATAATCTCCTCGATCGAGGAGATGGATGGAACGAGAAATAAATTTTCCTCTAACGCCCGACGAATCGGGAGGAGGAACGAGATATCTCGTATGTATATCTCGCTCCCCTTGACATTGCCATTGCGTTTCGCAAACGCGTCGTGTTCCCAAGCATGCCGTTCAATTCGCACGTGACGTTCAACGGTCAACGCAGTCGCCACGACACGGGCGGCTTCTATTCCTGATCCGTCACGGGAGGAGATTTGCCCGCCACTTTCCAACCCAAGATCGCGAGCGCACGCAGATGCAATTTTACGTGCAATGTTGACGTTACGCGCTCCGCGTTTCCATAATTAGAGGAACCGGGGAAAGATGGATAGCTTGTTGAGATTGAATTAATAGCCTGGTGTGCAGTGTGTTCAGACGCTAATTAGACCCTCCCCCTCCCCAGGTTTTTCGGGAAAATTGGAAAATCTATTATTGGGACGCGAGAAATTCTCGGGAATCGTCGAGTTTGAAATTACTCGTTGCCGAGTGAAAATTTATTTGCATCTTTAGCGAGAGGATATATATATATATATATATATATTTTTTTTTAAGTAATTGTTGAAAAGTATGGATTGTTGAATGAATCAAAGAATCATATGTGTGTATGTATATATTTTTTCAATTCGCATTCTCTAGCTATTGAAAAGGAATCGTGAATGATACATGTTTCAAATATTTATATAAAACATTGGAGGATTGGAATTGGTAATCGATACATTTGCAATTTCGTGTCTGTTATCTATTATTTTAAAGATATCGATGTTCGTAATATTTTTCTCTCCTTTGATATCGACGGAAAAGAAGGGAGGGGGCATTTGAGAAGATGGCGGAGATGAAGTCGAGCAATCGGCGTTAAAAAAATTGGCGATAAAAAAATATTTACATATGATTGGGCGAAACGGAAAGCAATTTATCCGGTTTGGAATGGAGTTTTCGAATTGTTCGCGGATCCCATTTCCCCCTCCCCTTCCTTTCCTCCCCTCACGAGCAGAAGTTTTCCGCTAGTTTGAAGATTGCCTCGAATTGGAAAAGAGTTACATAATGCAACTTGAAGCGAAGAAGAATGAACGAGATGGCACTTCGATTGTAACGCGAGACGATCCATTTATTAGAGGCCCTTTTGCACCAACATTCTCGTTCCAGCCAAGCTATTGCAGTTGAAATTCCAATCGAGTCTCGTTGCGCGAGCATAATGGAACGGATTGCGTAGAATATTTTCCCAAAGGGTGAAACGAGGGGGAAAAAATGGAGAAGAAGGGAAGAAAAGGAATTCGCGTCTTTTAAAACTGAAACGTGCTCCGTTTTTATCCCCCCTCTTCGAACGAATCTTTAAAGATGAGATACTCGCGCTTATAAGAGATTCGAATACGGAGAGAAATGGGTATCGGAGCGGAAGCAGGTATCTCGAGCGTTTTTTTTAAGCAGAAAAGTGTCAAACGCAGGACAGGTTTGACCGTGCCAGACACAAAGCTTCGAGATTTTTGGTTACCGTTGAAAAACATTGCCGCTGTCAATACCATCTACCAAAGTTGATTGAAAAGGGAACAGAGTGGAAACTGTTCATTTGGAAAAAAGGAAAAAAATGTAACGTTGTTTTGTTCGTGCGATAGTTTTTACATCGACCAACAAAAGTATTCCCACGAAATCTTATAATCTCAATTGAAAGATCGAGAATCGAGAATTGTAATTCTAAGGTATCACAGAAACCAATTGTAAAATAGTTCATACGTGAACAATATTGACGATAATGTTGACGTCTATCCGCGAAATTTGTCGATTGACTTGATAAAAAGAAATCCAACTTTTTGGAATCAATGAAATATGCATCCATCGCAAACGTTGGAGTAATAATCTCAATTGAAAGATCGAGAAAGAGAATCGAGAATTGTAATTCTAAGGTATCACAGAAACCAGTGTAAAACAGTTCATACATGAGCAATATTGACGATAATATTCGTCTATTAGTTTCGATACTTTTAAGATCATATTGTCAATAATCATTGAGGAGCTTGCATATGATCGTACATAACGAAATAGAACTCCATTTATTCGAACTTTTTTGCACGAAAATTGACTTATTTTAATAAAAAAAAATCCAACCTCTTAGAATCAATGAAATATCCATCCATCGAAAAACGGAGTAATAATCTCAATTGAAAGATCGAGAATCGAGAATTGTAATTTTAAGGTATCACAGAAACCAATTGTAAAATAGTTCATACGTGAACAATATTGACGATAATGTTGACGTCTATCCGCGAAATTTGTCTGTTTGTTTGATTGACTTAATAAAAAAAAATTCAACTTTTTGGAATCAATGAAATATGCATCCATCGCAAACGTTGGAGTAATAATCTCAATTAAAAAATCGAGAATGAGAATCGAGAATTGTAATTTTAAGGTATCACAGAAACCAATGTAAAACAGTTCATACGTGAACAATATTGACGATAATATTCATCTATATGTTTCGATACTCTTGACGATATTGTCAATACTCATTGATATCGAGGGCTCGCACAACGATATAGAACTCCATTTACCCGAACTATTTTTACAAAATTGACTTATTTTAATAAAAAAAAAAAATTCAACCTCTTAGAATCAATGAAATATGCATTCATCGCTGATGTAATAGTTGTATCTAAAATCATCATCGAAATATTCATTGAACCGACAATTATCCTTTCCACAAACAAGCGGATATAATAATCGTATTAATCGTAAAACAGAGCCAGAGAGTTCCCTCCGCATCATCGATAGACTTTCTCGAATCTGTTCCGAATAAAACGTCTCTCTCTCTCTCTCGGCGATATATCTCGTTTCGTTTCCTGGCGCGATGATCCTCCTCGCCCCTTTCGCCTCTAATTGCGTGTACAGGTCGGTTCAATTTTCTCTCGGGAACGAGTTGGAGGGAATTGTCAGTGTATGATAAATACCATATACCAGCCCCCTCGGTTTTCTCGATGCGTGGTTATCACCGTCGATCGTGGATTTATCGGGCGTTGCGCTCCACGGAAAATCAATTCCATCGCGCGCGAATCCACCGATCTCGATTCCTCGACAGAAAGAGAAAGAGAGAGAGAGAGAGAAGGAGAGGGAGGGAGCGACTTTAATACGGTCGTGAGTAGTGGGCCGTCGGTAATCGCGACGAGGTCATTAATCTGGCGAGCATCGGCCGTGTCGTGTCTTGTCGGAGCGCCTACTACTCGATATCGATCCCCTTTCGACCGTCTTAACCTTATCGAACACCAACCGCTCCACTTTACACCGCTTCCGTTTGCTTCGCGCCTTTTCCTCCTCCTCAACGTCGTGTCCTCGTCCTCTTCTTCGTCGTCGTCCTCATCTTCATCGTCGTCCTCTTCTTCGTCGTCGTCCTCTTCTTCATCATCGTCCTCATCTTCGTCGTCGTCCTCTTCTTCATCCTCGTTCTCTTCTTCGTCGTCGTCCTCTTCTTCATCCTCGTTCTCTTCTTCGTTGTCGTTCTCTTCTTCGTCGTCGTCCTCTTCTTCGTCGTCCTCTTCTTCATCCTCGTTCTCTTCTTCGTTGTCGTTCTCTTCTTCGTTGTCGTTCTCTTCTTCGTCGTCGTCCTCTTCTTCGTCGTCCTCTTCTTCGTCGTCGTCCTCATCTTCGTCGTCGTCCTTATCTTCGTCGTCGTCCTCATCTTCGTCGTCGTCCTCTTCTTCATCATCGTCCTCATCTTCGTCCTCGTTCTCTTCTTCATCGTCGTCCTCTTCTTTGTCATCATCCTCATCTTCGTCGTCGTCCTCATCTTCATCATCGTCCTCTTTTTCATCATCGTCCTCTTTTTCATCATCGTCCTCATCTTCATAGTCATCCTCTTCTTCGTCGTCGTCCTCTTCTTCGTCGTCGTCCTCTTCTTCATCATCGTCCTCATCTTCGTAGTCATCCTCTTCTTCATCCTCGTTCTCTTCTTCGTCGTCGTCCTCATTTTCGTCGTCGTTCTCTTCTTCGTTGTCGTCCTTTTCTTCATCATCGTCCTCATCTTCGTAGTCATCCTCTTCTTCGTCATCGTCCTCTTCTTCGTCATCGTCCTCATCTTCGTCGTTGTCCTCATCTTCGTCGTCGTCCTCATCTTCGTCGTCGTCCTCATCTTCGTCGTCGTCTTCATCTTCGTCGTCTAGACTTTTGTTTTCAGAAAGTATTACATGAAAGGACTATTGAAATCTATCTCGTAAACTTGGATTCGAAGAATACGAGTCGAAAGCGTTTACAATTCGTCTCGAAATGAATGGGTTTTTAAAAATATCGAAAAGTTTTTAGAATCATCGCACCTATCCTAATGCGATCTAATATTAATTAATAGATAGATATAATAGAAAATGAGAGAAAGAGAGAGCAAAATTAACGAGAACTGAAAGGAAGAAATTAAGAAAGATTGGAATAGGTGCAATGAGAACACGGTTTGCGTTAGTTTAAAAGTTTATCGGAGATCAAAATCGAGATCTCTTATTGCTACGAGACCGCGTTGTTATTGAATTTCCTCGTGATCCGTTGAAACGGTTTCTGGGAACGAATAAACGAGCGAATAATCGAGGAGATGGTGGCGCGAGCAAACCAGAGAGTTTCGAGTAATTGGGGATAAAACTTGGCATCGCCAAAATTTCTATTTCGCAAGTTTCTCCCTTATAGATAATAAGGCGCAACCTTTTCTCTTCCTTTTTCAACACGGATTTTCTCGAGCAGCAAAAGTGTGGATTAAACCGTTTCGAACTAATCGCCACTGATATCCGCCACTTCTTCGTGGGGGAGTTTTTTTTAGACCCAAGTGTTTTTAACCTAGATGTAACGCAACCGCGATAGCCGCGGTTGAGAGAGAATGGCAAAGTTTCGAAATTACAATTTTGAAAATTTCGGAAGCGAGTCTTTGTTTTCTCAAACGACCCCGATAGTTAACCGCGCTTTGATTCTGGGAAAACTCTCGGGGGCATTCAATTAACGCTGATTCCATTCCGTGTTTAATTTAGGGAAACGGATGTTGTTTTATCGAAAACAATGGAAATTGAACACCGATTCTTTATTATTTCTCCAATCCCCGTTTCTTTAAGTTTTTCCTTTCCCCTTTACGTAATTTTCTAATTAATTCTCAATTTAAAGCGCGAATCGATGGAATGGATATTTGAAGAAAAATAAAGTCGTTCGTAAATTCGGAGAAGAAGAAAAGGGAAAATCGTGTTATAAAAAAAAAATAATAATACTAATTAGGAAATCCCCCGCTCGAATCCTCGTATTTCACCCCATTCGTTCTCTCGATAATTAACGCATTGTTCCATAAGTTATTCAAAAATCGGTGCTCCTCCATTAAAAGCTCGACGGATATTTCGACATACGTGCATAATTCAATCCAGAGTTGAGATAGACAGTATTTCGTAAGTAGGGTAATACTAATACGACATAGAGGATTTCGCTTCTCTGATCGCAGGGTTGTCGCGCATACTTTGCCCGATTATCCGGAAACGAACGACGAATGAAATTCCGCTTTGACCCCCGGCCGACCACCGAGGCGTAAAGTGTAATGAGCCGTTCGTAGTTGTGGCGTGTGCGGGGGCGTATATATAATACAGGTATACATAATACGTACGGTTTTGCGTACCACTAATCACGCGTTCACTTTGACGAGACGTGTGTAATGATCAATGCCTTTAACCCTTTCTTCTTCTTTTTCTTCTTCTTCTTCTTCTTCCTCCTCTGTCGCAGGTAAGACTGACAAAGGGCTCATTGAAATTAACGAAATCCGGTGGTCATTGTGTCTGGGTACAAAAGGGGCCCACTTCACACGCACAGGTAGACGATCTTGTCTCGTTTTCTCTCGCCGTCCCTTTTGTACTCTTTTAACCCTTCGCCCGGACGGGTCCCGTTTAAAGGTGAAGAAATGGTATCCAGTTGGAGAGGAAGGAATACTGTATGGATTAAGAGTTGTGAATTTTTAATCGGCGATTTATTTATTCGTCTTCGAATTCATACAGCGCGTTTAAATTTCTCAGACTTGTTGCTGTGGATCTTTATTTTCTATGAATTACACGTGACGTATAATTTTTGCGATACGACTTTGTTCAAGTTTAAATTCGTGAGAAAAAATTATAACAGTTTTTTCACGATTATATGATTTTATTAAAAATTTTCTTAATTTTGTTCCAAATTAACATCTTGATTTTGATCCTGTTAGTTACGAATCATCCATCCGTAAGGGATTAAATTTTTCTTCTTTTCCGTTTCGCATCGATCCTGTCGAGATTTAGCGTACAAATTCATCCCCTGATATTCCGGATGGTGGGTCGTTCACCCAGGCAAGTTTCGAACTCGCGTTCCTATGGAATGCCTCGGATTAGCACGTGTTTGGAAGATTCCGAATTTGCACATGCCTGGGAATTCCGTCCTCCCGCGTATACTCAAGATGGCGTCTCTCTGGTGATGGCTCATATTGGAATACTTGAGTCGATATAGTCGGCGATGGTTGGATAACATTAGTTTAATTACCCAAGTATTTGCCCCAACTTCGCCGATGATTAACGCTGGATTAAATTTTGCGAACGTTATCGTTCTAAAATATCGCTCTGTTTGTGATATGAAGTACAAGCAATTGCAGAGATCCAATAATGAAATAATACAATAATCTTCCAATTGATTATCTTCCAAAAGAATCCTTAGATTTTGAGAAAAAATTCCTTTCTTTAAAGAAGATTTATTCCAAAGGAACAATAAATTTTTCTTCTTTCCCGTTCGCCTTTTGATATTCCAAATGGTGGATTGTACACCTAAACAAATTTTTTCGAACTCGCGTTCCTTGGATTTTGAGAAAAATTCCCTTTTTTAAAAAGAAGATTTATTCCGAAACAATGACTAATGATGATAAAAGTTAAATCTCAATTTAAAGATAATGATGTCCACGATAAAATAACTTCTAAATAAATGCAATCCCGAAGAAAGTTTCCGTCCAATTCTTTCTTTCGTCCCTTTCATCACCGACACCAACTCATCCCGTTGCTTCATCGAACGTAATAACCAATCGGCATACCTCCTCACTTAAGCGTAACGTTCGTACTTAAACGTAGGAAAATGATCATCATTTTCTTGCCTATCTACGAGTGCGATCAGCATACAATGCCGACGGTTTCGAGCATCGACGGTTTCCATAACTCTCTGCTCTGCCGGTTTCACCGAGAAAACGCACTCACGTCACGTTAAAAAGAATCAACGTAGCCGGTTGCATGCGTGCAAGGGAAAGGAGAAGAGGATACAGTGGACGTCTGTCAAAGCGATCTATGTTAATGCGGAGACGCGTATTCTAATCTACATTTTATGCGAGACCGGGTCGAATTTGCGATTATAATCCCGAGGAGATACATTGGGCCACGGCTCCCAACCCGTTGCGCCATTCCTCTCCTCGCCCGTGCTGCCCTCTCCTCGCCCGTGCTGCCCTCTCCTCGAGAGAGAGAGGCTCGTGACGCGGCCAATATAATGCCTCTTTCTCGTTTGCGATTCGGAAGAAGCGGAGGGGGGGGGGGAGGGGACGAAAAGGTGACTAAGCCGTGCGTTCGCGGAAAACGTTGAATTTACCGGGTATTCGACATTCCAGAATCGATTAACGCCGCTCTCCTCCCGGCCGAACGTCCTCCGAGTCTGACGAGTCGACGCGACCGCTTCTTGCACCCGTGGCCGGCTACGTGAGCGGAATAAACCGACACCATCGGTCCTTTTTCAATCATCGGACCGATGGACGTTATTTGCGAATCGTACGAAGAACGTTTAAATTCGGAGAAATTGGCGATTCGATCGGTAGCTTTTGCGACCGTATTTGAATTATTATAGCAACGATTTTTTCTTTCTTCCTTCCTTTCTTAATTTTAAATTAATTTGATCTTATTGTTCACTTTGTGAGTAATCTTTGCGAGTTTTCTCTTGAACTTTTGAAAATTTGCAAGCATCTCGAGGGGAATAAAATCTGGATGGGGGAATTTGAGAGAGGATTATTATATAATTTGTTTTTGTGTTTAGCGTGAGTGTAGTATTTTTTGGAAAGGGAAAATTTAGTGCAGTTGAAAATAAAGTATCTCGATGGGATTCGATTTTACATAATTCTTTTCATTTTTATCCTTTTAACTTTGAATATTTGAAAATTTGGAACGTTGGAATCTCGATGGGATCGTTAAATATGTATAATATGTATAATACGTTGAATCGAAGTAAAAATTAAAATATTCGGTATAGAGGATTAAATGTTCGTTATTAAAAAAAATTCTATGAAATTCTCAAGAAATCTTTCAGAATTTTCAATGTAACTTGCATTATTGTTGGCACGATGTGTTAAGATATATAGCTCGATATATCTAATGCCGATTAAAACTCGCAATATGTCTTACCTTGAACGGATTAATATCTTGAAGTATCATAGGTATAAATACTCAGATAAGGCTATAAATATTGAGATTAAGCTTTCTCGCATTTATCCGATATTAATATTCTATAATTCACGAGGGAAATTTAATAAATAAATTAATAAGAATGAATAACCATATATTGATTTGGAAATTTTTCATATTTTTTTTCTCTCTCTTTGTAAATCTTGTATATCAGGATTTTTAAAAGCGACTTTTATCTCAAGATGTTCTATGATTCAGGATATAAGGCGCCTGTTTATTCGTGGAACTTTCACATTCTCAACATTCTAAACCACCTTACGTTACTTTTTACTCAAGGAAAAAAAAGCTACCTCTTTCCTTGATTTACAAGACATGTTTCTACTTAAAATGCAAGTCAAGAGATTTTGCAAAAAAATTCCGCGTTATACGTTTCTGGTTGATTTCGAAATCAAAGATATCTTATTAATGATTCGTTCTATGGAAAAAGATTTAAATAAGGAATCTTGTAAACATCATTCCGTTTAAGAGTATAATAAAATAAAACGCTTATTTAACGTAATATTTAACATAAATATTTACTACTATTTTTTTATACATATATTTAGATTTTTATGTATTTACATAATTTTACATTTACAATATATTCTAATTTTCCCGATCGTTAAAATTTCTTATTCAAATTTTCAACGTTTATATCAAGTTATAAAACAAAATTCTACGATTAATTAACCAGACTCGATCTATACATTTCACGTTCATA